TTTTTGTTGACCTTTGTCCATGGAAGGTCCCTGCAAAATTTCATTGAAATTGGTTCAGGGGTTTTGGAGAAGAAGTCGAAAATGTAAATTGTTTACGGACGGACGACGGACGACGGACGACGACGGACAAAAGGCGATCGCAATAGGTCACTTGAGACTTTGTCTCAGGTGACCTAAAAATGCCAAACAAATAGGAACTCTTCATCATTGGAGATACAACACAAAGTGCTTAGGGACTCTCTACCTTTAGAGGTAATTTTTATTTTCATGTTTTTTTTGTTACTGTTGTAGGATTTAAATCAAAATTTTAAAATACTTTCTGACTGTCTTTCATACGTAGCCTTGGAACATAAAAAAACTTTTGCTAATTCATTTGACAAAATGACATTGTTAAGATATATTAGAAACTTTTAGAAAGACACATTTCAACATCTGAAGCAAATTTCGAAGAAAAAGTACCTCTATGGCCTGTTACACAGCATGTTTATCCAACATTACTATAGCAAAAGCATGCAATAAAGGGAGATAACTGGACCTAGGCAGCAGGAACTTACGACATTCAAACTCGTCGGTTCCGTCCTGACAGTCATACTGACGGTTACATCGGCGTCGCTGGTCAATGCATTGACCGTCACGACACCTAAACTCTCCTGACCGACATTCTGGGAGAACATTCATATATATATTCACACATATTCTGTACCTACTCATTAATACATACACAACCACAATATATAGTTTGGTAAGTTCTACCATACCTAGCCAGCAATAAGCCCAGGTAGCTGTTTCTTAAAATCATGGTACAAATTGGGCACAGGGGTTAATTTTACTACTGACCCTATACACTTAAGTATAACTTATCCAGTTAACAGTAAATCTGTGTATCCAGTTAGAGTTTTAGGGGGCAAAATCTCCCCTTTTTTATTTAAAAGTCTCCTGGTAATGCAGTTGTTTCACAGATACACAGATTTTATTCTGACCATAGGCCTGAAAAACCCTCTGCTGTCAGCATGCCAGGAGAGCATATATTTAAATATGATTACCCAGGGGGTAGGTGGGCTTATTGCTGAACATAAGTCTATCACTGGTATCAAAAGTTCTGTATCTACAAGGCAATCATAATGGTATGCTAGGGTAACCTCTTATAAGTTTAGCAAATGTTGTTATGGTCCTATAAGTTTAACACACGTTGCTATTGATGACAAAACTTAATAAAGCCTGGCAGGGTTTAATGTAAGTTTGTCAGCAATAGAAATGTGTGTTAAATAGGACCGTAACAATTTTTGTGAAAATATTCATTATTTATATTTTTATTTTGATAGAGAAGTTACGTTTTATTAAGTTATTTTGAACAGTTCTTTGAACAGCAAATAAAGTCTTGTCAACAATGAAACTGATGACGTCACAATAGAGATTGATGACGTCACAATAGCAAATGTTGTTATAGTCTCATAACAACATTTGCATTCTCAATGCATTGCAATGGAAGGATGCAAAGCAAACGTAAATATTAGACTATATTTCAAATATATATATATATATACAATGAATCTGCTTGATTTTCATACATCTGATATCAGATATACAACACTATGAGAGTGATTAATATTCATCTATTTGTTTTATAGGGATGCAATCAATTTTACTTAAGGGAGACAGTATGCACCAGACTACTTCTATATTCTATGCTATGGTCTTCAGGCAGATTGTAGCAAGATTCATTTGCAAATATTACATATCATATTGGTTTTTTGTAGTTGGGTTTAAAAATATTTGTTTTAATAGTTTTTCAACAAGCTATTTAATGACGTTTCACGATACAGCTAGGGGTCTGATGTTATAAGTAAATGTCTAAGTTATAAACAATCATATAATTTGCAAAGAAATATACTAGACTTGATTCACACCAAACATGCAAGCTAAAGTATCAAGTACTTACGGCAGTTTGCTTCATCACTTCCATCACTGCAATCCTGTACTTGATCACATTTCCGAGTCAGTGAGATACAGCTACGGTCTGGACAGGTAAACTCATCAGCCCTGCATCCAACAGCTGCAGGTAACAAACAAAAAAATCAGTAGAACTAAAGTATGTCCCCCAATATCAATCGAGTATTCATAAGTAGGAAGTTTCATCAAATGACCATGAAATATGGTTCATCAAATTATGTAGAATTTATGGCATAGGCAAGAATTACAATGAGTTGTCCTCACTGCGACCTTGACTTTAACAAATTTACATCCAGTCATGACCATACTTGCCAACTCTCCTTATTTAGGAAGGAGACTCCCGATTTTGAACCCTTAAATTTGGTAGTTTCAGCCAGAGTTTTCTAAACTATACCTATATTCTAAGATCTAATGATCTCATCTGAATGAACAACTGAAAATATGTAGTTTTAAAGGGTCATTTTGTCTCTAGGGGTATATACTATACACACATTTTATTTTTAATTTTGAGTATGCAGAATCTCCCCCACTGAAATTTCAAAAACTTGGCAAGCATGCATGACACACATCCTAATGATGTAATGCATGCACTACCTGTGGTGTGTGGGGATGGGGTAGGTGTGATGCAGATGATCTTCAAGTTTCATTCATATACCTTTTATGGTTTAACCCTTTCATCCCTACGTAACTTTAGTAAACTCTACCATGCATTGATCTGGATGAGTCTATTTCGGTCTTCAGTGGTGAATGGATTAAAAGTTACTGCCCTGACAAGAGTGCATTTATCTATTAAGAAGAAAACCAGAACTTATACAATATGTTTCCCTTTATTCGAAGGGGATACATAATAAATGTCGAAAAATATGGTTTTACTTTTTACTGGTAAAGACGTTCCCTCAGTTAAGTTATTGTTTGTCTGGGTACAGGTGTACTTACGACAGTTAACTTCATCACTTCCATCCTCACAGTCTCGTCTGCGATCACAATATCTTTCAACAGGAATGCAGGAACCGTCAGCACAGGTAAACGTGTTTGCTGGACAGTTGGCCGCTACAAGTAATAGAATATATCTATCTAAACACCATTGACATGACACAGGTACAACTGTACCATATTGCATTAGAAAATATCTCCAAGTTACAAAAGTTCAACTTATTTATAGTAAATACCATTAATTTGGAACATAGAAATGATTAGATATGCTACATACATTCTAATATGAGATAAGTTGAAGACAATGCAATTAAATATTCAAAGATCAGTTCACTCAAACTTCAAATTATTTTAGTGGCCAGGATAATTGTATATAGTATATGAGAAAAGAAACAAGTCCAACTTGTACTTGATGTTCTATACATTTATACTACCAAAGCTTTAAGAAAACATCAATAAAAAACATTCTTAAATAAATACACAGCTTACAATTAAATGGAAATATACTTACGACAGTTTTCTTCGTCAGATCCATCCTCGCAGTCTCGTCTTCGATCACATTTCCGATCCAACGGAATACAGGTACGGTCCCCACAGGTGTACTCATCAGCTCTACATCGGACAGCTACAGGTACAAAAATACAAAATGCCTACTGTTTTATGAATACATTTAGAGTCACCGCAGGTAAACCTCTTAACTTGAATCTTATATTTCATTTAGTTAAGCAAAGATAATTGATTTACATCCACTAACAATACAGTTATGGTCATTACAGGTAACTTTCTTTGACAATCTTGCTATGTATACCTATTCTGGAGGGGTACTCCTAAATTTTTACCCTCATTTTTCACTTTGGAAATCAGATGATTCCATACCTCTTGCATTTTGCTGAAATCAAATTAACTAATTTGATAGAAGAGTTAAACTATGGAATTAATGAGAAGCCTTGTATTATTTTCTAGGGCGTCTTATAAGTAACCAACAATTTCAAAATACGTACGACAATTAAATTCATCACTGCTGTCTTCACATTCCGGACGGCCATTACACCTAAAGGATTCTGGGATACAGTCTCCATTTTGACAGCGGAACTCTCCAGTACGGCAAGCTGATAAAATAGACACATGGATAAAGGTCAACAAAGCCAAAATAGTCATTTTGATTACTTAATAAAAGTTATCTCTGTCAGGGGAAACTCCGAGAAATAATGGCAAGTGTTAAGGCTCTTACAGTGACACTTCTATACAAGCTGTTTTTCCTTTCATAAAATGTATTAAAACTAAAAGCCATGTACGTTTCAAACACTATTTCCATAACACTTTTTTTTCTATTTAAACCTATCTTAAATCAAGTATGTTAAATTTTTCAACTAACTTTCCAGGAAAGAGATATTTAAAGATTAAAAAGCCAAATAAAGCATTATCTATTAAATCAACTAATTTATTGAAACAATACAACAGAACCTGTAAGATCTAAGGTACACAATTATTAGCTTTAACAAATAATATTTAACATCATTCACGTTTTAACTGATATGTCTGAAGATTTTTGTAATTTTGATTTTCATCTTAAGAAAGTTTTTAACTTCTACTGTATTAACATTTCTCTAATGCTTATGTAATATACAACTTATTGTTACAATGATCTTTGTTGTGTAGCTTTGGTCTCGGTCTGTTTTCCCTACAGACTGATCCGATGTAATGGGAGACATCTCCAATACCACACACATTACTGATAGTCTTACTTGAGTGATTTTGAGCCAACTCACATGCACTAAGTTCTCTTCCTTTCAATTCAACCATCATTTGATAACTAATGCATCATATTAAATCTGGATCACGAACAAGTTTCAATTTAGATACAAAAATGCCCCTCTTTCCACCACATCATGCAGAAAGAGAGAAGAAAAAATCTAACTATAAACGTACAAGTCAAAAAAATGTATAAAAGAGAACGAAAAAATTCTGCTGAGGTACCATGAAGCGTCTATTATCACTATGGTACTGTACTTACAAAATCGAGACTGAAGCTGAAAAACTTTACCTACAGAGAGACAGAGACATAGGAAGGAAAAGTTATAGGAAGAAACAGGTAGGTCTGGGAGTTTTAAACAACTGTGTTAAATGTTTAGCAAGGCACACAAAAGACGGTTGTTCATAGGAGTTTTAAACAAAAGTATTAATGATTAAGCTCCACACAAAACATAGTTGTTCATGGGATTTTAAACATCTACATTAATGGCTAAGTGACACACACATAAGGTAATTATTTATGGGAGTTTTAAAGAACTCCATTGATGGTTAAGCAACACACAAACTATAGCTGTTCATGGGATTTTAAACAACTAGTAATGGTGAAGGGATACACAAAAGGTAAACAGTGTTGTTTCATTAGATGCTAAACAACTTGTCTAAGAGACACATACACAAAAGGTAGTTTTACATAGTACTTTGAACATCTGCATTAATGGTTAATCAAGAGATATAAAAGATTGTTCTACATGGTTTGTTTTTTTAAAGCCTGGATTAACGATAAGCAAAAAACATAACAGGCTGTTGTACATAAAAATAAAACTCAAAATTATATAATTTTTATTTTGAAGTAATACGCACTGCAATCTAATTCGTCACTTCCATCTTCACAATCTGGGCGTCTATCACACTTCCTGTCTCTGGGGATGCAGTCGCCGTTGGTACAAGTAAACTGATCGTCTTTGCAGGCTGTATGGGAAGTTAATATTGGTAACTTTCATTTCACAAATATTGTATTGATCTATAAATTAAACTTTGAGCGAACATTGTTTACCAATAAATGCTTTTTGGTGTCTTGCAAGTTAGATTAAACCTGGAAGTATGTAAGTCATTTAATGCCACAGTTTAAAACAGATTTCGTAGGGAAAATATAAAACAGCATGATTGCTCCTTCTTATCAAATGCAGAAATTTTTAAAGCTATGTCCATAGGGACAGAAAACTCCAAATGGTAAACGTTTTTCTCTTGATTAATGAAAATTTTTCTTAATTTTTCAATTCTGAAATTTTTCTCTTTTTTTTTTTTTTTAGTAGAAGGTGTACACTGGTTACTATAGCAACACTCACGACAATTGATCTCATCACTGCCATCCTCACAGTCTGGTCGATCGTCACATTCACGATTACCCGGGATACAGTCTCCATTTGTACAGGTAAACTCGCCAGCAGCACAGGCTACAAGTAAATAAAAGTAAAACTTTACTGGGTGGTCTCAAAAAAACACTAATACAAGATGTGAGATAAGTACTTCTATATGTCATTTGAATCCAGGAAAATGATTCTGAACCATGATTGGTTTATATTTGCTAACACTATAAGGCTGATGATTTAAGATGATTCAATTTTATTCTATACAATTTTATACTATATTAACTAACTTGAACGCAAAAACTTAGTGTTGATGGAGATGCTGACAAAGTCAATGGACCATGAGAGGTAGGCCGCATCCAGCATTTGATGCTTGAGTTAAGATGTACTACCTAAGATGCAACTATAATCTAAGTGTGGTTGGTCTAGCACTTTCATTTCAGTAATAATTACCATAACTTTAGTATGCATATACAATACCTACACCCATCTTTGTAGCCCAAAAACAAAAGATTCAAATATCCCTACCTCCCTACCGTGACGTAACCTCTATCTCGATGACAGAGCCACGGAGTGATCTCCCTTCCTCTTCCTTTTATGGCGCCTGCTGCATGCTGACGCACGGAGCTTGCTCCAATTCAAAACATTGTTTTGTCGGTTTGGTTTGAGTGTCAACTCATATTTTTGCGCAGTTTGTGTGCCTTATACCCATCTGCCTTTATTGATATAACTAATTGTTGTTGAAAATTATTTTTGTGCCTTTTACGGCCGGTTATTTTACTCCACGTGTGCCGGTGGTGTGCCACGGTCCGCCATTATCGTGGGTTAATTTCCGACCTCTGTTTATTTCGGTGACGGTTGTTTGTTTCGGCAAACGTTATTTATTTTAACCGTTTTCTGATTTATATTACGGGTGAAATTCTTTCTACGTTGCGTACTTTGTACTATCGTATTTTATCCTTATTTTCCCGTTTTATCTGCTTGTAAATTTTTTGTTTACGTTCGCTTTGGAGGGTATGTCTCGGTCGGGACAGCGACGAGGTAGTGCTCATGGGTGTTCCCATTTCTTTGTGGAACGGGACCCTCATGATGCCTGTCCCAGGTGTCGTCCTTGCAGTGAGGTTTCGCCTTGTGAACTTTGTTCACAGTCAAAATCTCAGGGCAAGGACTTCATTGTTCCAAAGCTACCCTCAACTTACCGTAAGACAGATTCGTCTGTTTCTTCCGGTAAGCGAGGGAAGCAGAGAGGTAGGGGTCGTGCCACCAGCTCTCTGGGGTCTGGTGGTACTGTCTCTGTTCCTGTCTCGGGGGGTCTTGCTTCGGCAAGTCCCTCTCGTGAGCAGGGGGTGGCCCTTCCTGTCCAGGAACTCCCTGGAGTAGGGGAGGGGCAGCCTGACCCTGGCTTGGCACAGCCAAGGGTCGAATTGGCCGGGAACGCCCGTAAGCTTTCGCGCTTGCCTTCGGGTAGGGACTACCGGCCGCCGGTCACTGACTCTGTCAGTGATCCCGGCATTCCAGGTGGTGCTGTCGTTGGGGACAGTCTTGGTGCCGGGCCTGTTCTTTCGGGTTCAGGTCCTGGTGTGACAACAGACTTTCTTTCGGGATTGTCTGTGTCTACCGGGATTAGTGACGCGCAGCTCACTAATCCCGGCATCAATGCTGGTCAGGCATACCCTCCCGGTCAGTTACCCGGACCCGGTCCTATTAGGTCCGGTCCCGAGTTTCATTCTTCTGGGAACCTGGGGGGTTTCCCCCCAGGGGTTGGGTTTGCTGGACAGGGGGCCGGTTTCCGGCCTCCGTTTTCCCCTGGCTTAGGGTATACGGGTGCCTGCGGGCAACCATCCTTGGGCCGCCCTTACCAGCCTGCGGATGGTTTTGGGTTGCGGCAGCATCCCGGCAGTTACGGGCTTAGCCCGTACATGTCCGGGTTTCCACCTGGAGGGAGTGGCGGTCCACCTTCGCCCTTTGGGCAAGTTGGCCAGCCCCAGTCTCAGGCAGGCCAGTTTGGCCAGTTCTGGGGTCACTCCCAGCCCGCGGGACCTTTCCCCTATCCTCCGGGATATGGGTTTAACCCCATGGCATTTCCGTCATGGAATCCTTGGGGTTTGGTCTCTCCCTCGCGGAGACGTGTTAGCAGTTCTGTTGACCCCCCCCAACTTTCTGCTACTTCGGGGGCCTTATCGGCCGGTCCTAAGAAGGTGTGTCGGACCTTTAGGACTTCTGCCTCTCGGGCAGGCTCGTTGGTCTCTGGGTCCAAGGGTAGGGTTTTGGCTACTAAGCCTAAACCTACAGCCACGGCCGTTAGGCGCACTGCACCTAAACGCCGGTACGGGGAGCCTTCTCTCGGGTTGGCCCCTCTGGCTGGCCCATTTCCTCCGCCCCAGGCTTCTGGTCTGGATGGTGTGGAGGCTATGGACGTTGAGGGCGCGGGTATGGCAGAGGACAATGATGTTGTTCATCTTTCACCTGGTTGTTCGGATATAGACGCTGGTCTTTCCGAGTCGTCTGACGACAGTCCTCAGGAGGGCTTGCCCTCAGAGGAGGACTTCCAGGATGAGGGAGACCCTGAGGCTGCTGAGGTTGAGGCCCAGCATGTGTTATCCGGTATGCGGGGCCTTAGGGCTGACGTTTCCCGGATTCTTGGGGAGGAGGTTTGCCCACCACCTTCGGCATCATCTGTCCCCGAGTCCACCACCCTTTTGGGTTCTTTGGTGGCTCCTCGGGTGTCCGCTCGGTCGGACCGCTCTCTGCCAGAAGGCACCATTGTGTCTTCAGCTCTGGCCACCGCCCAGTCTCGGGTTTTAGGGAAGAATTCTTCTTCAACCCGTAGTCCTGGGTATGCTGGGTTGCAGCTCAGTGTTGGCGATTTGTCAGAGGTGCACGCCACTGACTATGCCACACATGATGGTCTGCTTGCCCCTCAACCAGCTAAGCTGGAATCGAGGGAACTTGCAGCTTGGCCCGGTAAATCGGTGGACCAGGTGGTGTTCGGTCCCAAAGAACACCACAAGATGGAGAGACTGCTGCGTCTCTCCATCCAGATTCTGTCGTATATAGACTACTTGACGGTTTGTCTATATAGGGTATCCGACTTGCCTGAGGGTCGGATTACCGAGACAGAGCAGGCCGACATCCAGGACAGAGTGACCTCTGCCCTGAACGGGGCATTGAGAGCGCTGGCAGCTTTACAGGTGTCATCCCTCGTCAATGTCTTGTTGGCTAGGCGGTTTTCAGTTTTGAAAAATCGCCCGGTCGATGAGCCTTACCGTTCCAGACTGTTGACTGCCCCCTTCTCAGGGTCCACTCTTTTTGGAGGGGCCCTTCCTTCTGTTCAGAAGGATTTGAAGGAGGACTCGGTCGCCTCTGCACTTCTGGTGAAGAGGATTCAGGCTGAGAAGGCCAGTACCTCGCAGGGGTCAGCGCCTCCTAAGAAGAAGGCTAAACCTTCGGCTTCGCAGTCCTCTGCGCAGCCCAAGTATAAGCCTCCCTTCAAGGGCAACAAATGGAAGGGTAAGAAGGGTAAGAACCCTCCTGGGGGTAAGAAGAAGGGTTCCTGACTCTTTTCTTCCCTCCTTGGTCGTGTCAGACGACGAGTTTGGCCGGGAGGAATGCAGTCCTCTCGGCTCAAGCTTAGGTCCTTCTCCCGCAGGATTAGGCTTCGGGTCAGCAGACGATTCTCTTGCCTGGCAAGGTCTCGATCTGCCTCGACCAGATCTTCCTGTGGGGGGTCGTCTTTCTGCTTTCCTTCCAGAGTGGAAGGAAATTACGGAAGACGCATGGACCTTGTCTGTGATCAAGGAGGGGTTAGGCATTCCGCTAGTGCGGGATCCGCCCTTAGCGTCAGAGCCAATCTTTTTTCCTCCACCGGGGGATCCGGAAAAGGCTCTGGCGCTCCAGGAGGAAGTAAGGACCATGCTTTCCAAGGGCGCGGTCGAGGAGGTTCCTATGTCGGGATGCACTCCCGGGTTCTACTCCAGAATGTTTCTGGTTCGGAAGAAGTCCGGGGCGTGGCGTCCCATCATAGATCTAAGTGCCTTCAACAAGCACGTAGATTCTCCTCACTTCAAGATGGAGACTCCTCGGGGTATTATCGCCTCCGTGAGAGAGGGAATGTGGGCGACTTCAGTAGATCTAAAGGACGCCTACTTCCACATCCCCATCAAGAAGTCGGCACGGAAGTACCTCCGTTTTACTTGCAACGGAAAGGTCTTCCAGTTCCGGGCCATGCCGTTCGGGCTCACGACTGCACCTTTGGTTTTCACCAAGCTGCTGCAGGTGGTCGTGGGATTCCTGCACTCTCGAGGAATAGATGTTCACATCTATTTCGACGACTCCCTCATGCTCCACCTAGTGAGAGAGTCTCTGGTACAGGTCACCCGGTTGGTTCTGAAACTCTTACTCAAGGTCGGCTTCATTCCTTCCAGAGAAAAGTCGGAGGTTTCCCCATCTCAGGATTTTGTTTTTCTGGGGAACCGTTTCAATACGGTTCAGGGCATCGCCCTTCCACCGATGGAGAAGTTCGAGAAGGCCAGGGCTTTTGCTCTGACCTTTATCGGCCGGTCTCAAGTCCAGGTACGTTGGTTTCTCAGTTTTCTGGGATATCTCAACGCCCTGGCCGATGTGGTCCCCTTAGGGAGACTTCACATCAGGCCTCTCCAGATGTTTCTCCTTGCCAACTGGGTCCCTTCTTCAAGGGATTGGGAAGCCTTGCTTCCTCTGAACCAGTCGGTCAAGGAGTACGCACGCTGGTGGACTCATCAGGACAATGTTCTCCGAGGGGTTCCTTTGTCCAAGCCAGTTCCCACTATGACCCTGTACACGGATGCATCCATGACAGGGTGGGGAGCTTATCTCGACGGGCGTTGCCAGTCGGGGGAGTGGTCTGGGGAACAGCTCTCGGAGCACAGCAATGTGCTCGAGATGAGGGCTGTTCTGTTGGCTCTGCAGTCTTTTCGGGAGATCCTGCATTCCAAGGTGGTTTGTGTGGCTACGGACAACACTACGGTTGTCGCGTATCTGGAGAGACAGGGGGGAACCAGGTCTCACACCCTGTGTGCCCTCGCTATCCGCATTCTGCTTCTATGTCAGGAAATGCAGTTGACAATTTGTGTCAAGCATCTGCCAGGCAGGTTGAATGTTCTGGCGGATACTCTTTCCAGGCGCCGCCAGCCGGTTTTGACAGAGTGGCAACTGAATCCCTCGATTTTCGTGGGAATTTGTCAGGTGTGGGACAGGCCTCACATAGACCTGTTCGCCACTTCACTGAACAATCAGTTGCCAACGTTTGTCTCTCCGGTACCAGATCCAAGGGCTTGGGCCGTGGACGCTCTGTCTCTGGATTGGGAGGGAATGCATGCATATGCATTCCCACCCTTCAACATGGTGGGCAGGGTGCTGCAGAAGTTTCGGGAGCATCAGTGTTCCCTCCTCCTGATAGCGCCCCTGTGGCCGAGGCAGCCTTGGTTTCCGGAGCTTTTGTCGCTTCTGGTGGAAGAGCCCCTGGCTCTTCCTCTCAGAGCGAACCTCCTTCGCCAGCCTCGTTCCAGGACGATGCACTCTCGTCCGGAGATCCTCCACCTTCACGCGTGGAAGCTATCTCAGGAGGCCTCGCTCAGGCGGGCTTTTCTAGGGACGTGTCAGATCGCATCGCTCGATCAATTAGGGCTTCCTCATCTGCCGTCTACCAGTCACGATGGAAGATTTACTGTGATTGGTGTGTCGGCAGGAAGGTTGATCCGATCAAGGCTACTGTCCAGGTGATTGCGGACTTCCTTCTTTGGCTGTTTAGGGACCGCAATCTTGCCCCTGGCACTATCGCTGGTTATCGCACGGCCATTGCTAGTGTTCTCTCTGTTCATGGTAGGTCGGAGGTAGGCTCGTCCTCCTCTCTTTCTGCCTTGATTAGGGGGTTTGGGTTGGACAGGCCTAGGGTCCGGCAGTTGGCTCCGCAGTGGAATTTGCCACTGGTGCTCGAATCGCTGATGCGGGCACCTTATGAGCCTTTAGCGTCTGCCTCCTTGAAGTTTGTTACTTACAAGGTGGTATTCCTTGTTGCCCTGGCCTCAGGTCGAAGGAGGAGTGAGATTCATGCCTTGTCTTCTCACCCCTCTTGCCTCCGATGGTCCAGGAATTACTCTGCCGTTACCCTTCTCACTGATCCTGCCTTTATGGCTAAGAATCAGGTTCCTGGCTTCTCGCCCGATCCGATTAAGATTCCGTCTTTGACTGCCTTCGTTGGAGCTGAGGAACGGGATAGGTTGCTCTGTCCCTGTCGGGCGCTTAGGTTTTACCTCGATAAAACCAGGGGGGGGCGAGGTCCTCGATCTCGTCTGTTTTTGCCCATTAAGCAGGGTCAACAGGATATCTCTTCTCAGTCAGTGTCTAGATGGATCTGTCAGGTCATCAAGTACGGTTACGACCACTCGGATGATCAGGTTCGGGCGTTGTATAAGGTGAGAGCTCATGAGATCAGGGCCCTTGCTGCGTCATGGGCCCTCCTCAATGGGTCCCCCTTTCAGGAGGTCATGTCCGCAGCTTTCTGGCGCGGACAGACTACCTTCACGGATTTTTATCTCCGGTCCTTGGCCTCTCATTCTGATGGATTGTATTCCCTTGGACCGGTGGTGGTTGCACAGTCTGTGGCTGTTCCTCCACAGTAATTCAGTGATTTTAAATAGTATGCTATCAGGCACCACGGTGGTACACCTGCTCGTTTCACGGGGAGGTTTTCCATTTTTTAATTACTTTCGGGGCTTTATTAGGGGGGTTCCTTGAACCTTTTCCCTACCTTGAGCATGTCTCGAGTTTGTTCCGTCAGCCTGGTCTGCCTGGATTCGAAGCCTCCACTACGGTAAGACGAATTCGCATACTAAAGTTATGGTAATTATTACTGAAATGAAATTGAGGTTTTTGAAGTAAAACCAATTTTCATGATGTAATACTTACCATAACTTTATGGAGTCCCACCCTGTATTCCTCCCCTTGCCTCCTCATCCTGGCTGCCTTTAGGCTCCATAAAAGGGGGTTTGAGGAAGGGAGATCACTCCGTGGCTCTGTCATCGAGATAGAGGTTACGTCACGGTAGGGAGGTAGGGATATTTGAATCTTTTGTTTTTGGGCTACAAAGATGGGTGTAGGTATTGTATATGCATACTAAAGTTATGGTAAGTATTACATCATGAAAATTGGTTTTACTTCAAAAACCTCAAATATATACGTTCAGTGAAACGAAGTTAAACACAAAAAACTTAATGTTGACGCAGCCGCCGTCACACGAAAAGCAACACCTTAGTCTCGCTTCCACTACTTTGTCACGTCAAGACAAAAAGGCAGAATTTTAACTAAATATTCCAAACAATGTAAACGAAAAATGCTTAATACGAACTTTCCGTTATAAATTGCTGATACCTACCACAGCCTGCCTCGTCCGATTGGTCCTCACATTGTGGAACACCATCACATCGGAAAGATCCCTCCACACAGTAGCCGTCCTGACACTGGAACTGATCTTGACGGCATGCTGTAACAGAAGGTCAAGGTCACTGTGGTCAGTAAATGTCAAGGTCATAGTCAGCAACAAAGAAGCCTAAAGAATCTTACCTGAATTTAAATACAAACACTTTGTCTTTAGGTAGCCCTGTGGCCACACTTAAGATAATACTATTCATAGAAAACACAGAATTTATTTAGTAGTTTATTTAAGAAATGGGACCACAATTGTTTGGTGGATAAAAAAGAATATCACAAAAATTAAGGGGTCAGATTAGACAGCTTTCACTACATATAAAGAAAACTCACGACAACTGGCTTCGTCAGATCGATCATCACAGTCAGCATAGCCGTCACACACGAGCCTTCTGTCAAGGCACTGGATCTCGTTAGCACAGGTAAACTCTTCTGGAGGGCACAGGGCTGTATAATAAATAGTACTTAATGTATGCTTTGGTACCGGTACAAATATTATCCTAAGTTGGAAACGATTTTATCATCATACAATCAATTTTCAACACTGCCTGACTTCAGTATCACAAACACTGATATATTGATTACTGTATTTATCATTATAAAGGCACCTGTGCTAATAACAGCATCTCAGGGATTTTAAAAATGTTCAAATCTTTTTTATTTAAGAAATTTTAAAAAAAAATCAAATCAAGATTTTATGATTTTCAGAAGATGTTTAGGAGGTTTTGTTTGTCATGCAACATCTGCTGCTTAGATGGTTCTGTACACAAAGAGTTTGAACAAAAGCAATGATGTAATAAAAATGTGACCCATGCAATTTTCCAGAATAATATAACGTTTTCATGAGAATACAACTTAAGAGTGGGATAAAATTAGGCATTATATCGTTGCTGCAATAGGAAAACAGAATGTCGTCAAAATACAGGTTATGTTGTTTGACAAAAAATAGTCTACATAAAGGAGTCGCGCTTGTCATTTACCCATACCCGGTGTCCTTAATTATCACATCAAGAAATGTATCACATTTTTATAGGTAAAAACTTTAATACTGTCAAATGCTATTGCTGTGTTAAACTTGCATAGTGACAAATTCCGATTCTATACTCACGACAGTTGCTCTCATCTGATCCGTCTGGGCAGTCTCTCTCAGAGTCACACTTCAGGTCTTCAGGGATACAGGATCCATCAGCACACCTAAATTCTCCGGCAAGACATGCTATAACAAAGAAAATAACAAAACTGTGTTCTGTCCTTTCTTAACTCTGACATAATCACAGGAGGCATAAATTCACGAGTTGGAACCGCAACACTGTTTATAAAAAAAACAAAGGTCAAGTACAACTCCAGCATTTTTCAAGAAATTTCTTGCAATGTTGAAGATGGACAATCCTGGATAAAGAGGTCTAGATGTTTCTGTATATGGATACTAGAACCATGATTGGTTTAGATTTAAGATGATTCAATTTTATTCTATACAATTTTATATTATTAACTTTAAAAGAGGGACTGATATATAAACAAAGATATTAGAGTTTAAACATAAAATTTTGGTAATTATCGGCTTGTTTTAAAAGCAGCCTCAAAAACCGCTAACTCAGAAAACAAAAATTGCAAAAGCCATCCCTCTAAATTGGGACTGGCCTTTGTTGCAAGTTATTAGAACCAATATGTTATGATTTTTGAGATGTACTCCCGAAATGGAAATACCAGTATGCTTTAAAATGTATTTATTGTGTGCAAGGTTTTAATGACAACTAAAAATTTCAGAAAGTTAAAAATAGCAAAAGGCACTCCTCTGCAGTGTGATTTACTATTATGTGCAGTTTGAAGATCAAATCTGTGACAGATTTTGTGATATGCTCTAGGAACACCAATATGCATTAAAATATACATATTTTCAATGCCATTTCCATGACAACTACATGTAGATAAAATCAGAAACTTGAAAATATCAAAAGGCAGCTAGCTCTCTCCATGAACCATATCTTACATAAGCAGAGATATTGTGAGAGCACAAGGTACTTACAACAGTTGGAGTGTTCATCTGACTGGTCAAAACAGTCTTGTCGACGGTCACACACCTGACTGGACTGAATACAGCGGTGACCATCAGCACACATGAACTCTCCAGCTCCACAACCTAAAAAGAGAAATTACCATTAAAATCGAGAAAACCCCCCAATTTCCATTAACTTCTATATCATATAGAGGAAGCAAATGAAATTCATCTCAAATACTAGGACCCGAATATCCATAAGAGTCCCATATATGCCCATGAAGTTTCATAAAATCATTTACTGTAATATTGTTTTTTAGTTTATATATCCAGACAGGAAAAATTTGATTTACATTTGACCACACGTTGTGACTTTGAGCTTGAAGTAAGGGTCCCAAATATATTCTTTGGCATACCTCTGCATGATTGTTTATTTGTGTAGCGAAGTTTCATTAAACACATCTTCAAATATATCTATCCCTTGAAAAGGAACTATTTTTCAGAGACCATATTTTGTCAACACAAATTCAAATATTCAAAGGTTATCTGGAACTAATTTTCTTTGTTTCAAATTAAACTTAAATATTTTACATCTGTTATGAAAAACTTGTATTGCCTTATAGTTAACTTTTGTTGGCCTGGAAAGTAGTGTTCAGGGCAGGAGGTCATTATAAGGGAGGAAACCGGAATACCTGGAGAAAACCCACATTGTCGAGCAGGTGACCCTGTACTTTTTCATGTCTGGTCGGGGAATCTGTCCAGACAGGTATGGTACCAATAAACCTGACCTGGAATATTTCTTTCTCAATGTACAAAAAAAATGTGTGATATACTAATAACCCACATACCACCACATTTTCCTGGGAACTCGTCCGAGCTGTCAGGACACTCCCTAACGCGGTCACATTGCCTGGCATTCATACAGGTTCCATCTTCACACTGATACTGTCCTGCAGGGCAACCTCCTTCTTGGCCTAGCAATCAGACAATATATCTACATGTTACACTTCTCCTGTCTGACAGGTGTCTCTCCCCCATTAAATAATCCAGGGATATAGACATGTTATATGGTCACTCAGATGAATTTGAATGTTCAACTGATTTGCAGCTAGGGCCGGAACACAGAGAAAATGTGTACATGGATCTATCAACAAACTGATCCACTTCTATTTCAATCTAAATATACCTAAATATATAGCATGGGTCAAAGAAGTAATATAGACGGTAAAATCCCATATAACACTGGATCCTAATGGAGGTATGTCCGTAGGATACAAATTACTTAAAATAGTATATGGGGCAAAGAAGTAATTCAAACAGTGTGGACAAGTTTAGGTTGTCAAAATTTTGGAGCGATCCGCTCCTTTTTCAAGACACAGTGAAACAGAACAGTTACATGTACATATACATCATATTACAAGAAGATAGAATTGATATACTATAATTGAAAATATAGCTATTATATAAAACCAATAGTCCCCTCGGCTAAAGACAGCATATAGCATAGTATACTTACAATCTACTTCATCAGAGTTATCGCTACAGTCGCTAAATCCGTCACACCTATAAATACTGGAGATGCAAGTTCCGATTGCGCAACGGAAATTGTCTGGTGGACAGGCTGGAAAACGAAATAATTCAGGTTTGTTTAACAGATTATTGTGTATGTCTACCTTACAGATACCAAGCATTCAGCAACATTACATACAACTATAACTTGTCTGCAGAACAATTTTTCCAGTAAAGCGATAGTTATTACAAACAAGAGGCCCAGAGGGGCCTGTATCGCTCACCTGTATAATATTCTCATTAAATACCATACTGCAGCTATTTCAAAAGATTGTCTCTCAGCAACACCTGTCCCTCTTTGGGTCTCTTCTTTCTGTCCCATCGAAAGTGGGTTGATTTTAAAAATTAATGTCAATTTCACCTATTTGGCCCCACCTATCTACCCATTAATACAAAATTGACTCCCCTTTGCTGAAGGATGCTCTGAACCAAATTCGGTTAAAATCCCTCGAATGGTACAGAAGAAGAAAGGTTTTAAGGATTAAACTTCAAATTCCCCTATTGGACCCCACCCCTCTGCACCCAGAGGGGCCACACCCTCCATTTATATAAAATTGCTTCCACTTTGCCAAAGGATGCTCAAGTCCAAATTTGGATAAAATCCTGCCAATGGTACATAAGAAGAAGGATTTTAAAGATTTAAACCTCAAATCCCCTATTGGGCCCCGCCCTCTACACCAAGAGAACCACACCATTCGTGTATACAACATTTGGTCCCCTCTGCCCAAGGATGCTCCAGGCTAAATTTGGTATAATTCCCTCAAATGGTATGGTAGAAGAAGGGTTTTAAAGATTTAAAACTTAAACTCTCCAATTGGTCCGACCTGTCTAGACCAATAGGGGTCACAACCTCCAGTAATATAAAATTTAGTCCCATTTGACCACGGATGCTCCAGGTCAAAGTTAGTCAAAGTTCCTCCAATAGTACAGAAGAAGAAAGATTTTGAAGACTTAAACCTCAAATTCCCCTTTTGGGCCCCACCCCTCTGCACCCAGAGGGGCCACAACCTCTGATTATATAAAATTTAGTTCCCTTTGCCCAAGGATGCTCTACATCAAATTTGGTTTCAATCCCTCCATTTATACCGAAGAAGAATGGTTTTAAACATTTTCCCCAAAGTTCTTCCTAATGGGCCCCATCCTTCTGCTCCCAGGGGAGCCACACTCTCCATTTAAGGAAGAATTTTTAAAATTTACCTCAATTTCCCCTATTTTGCCCATGCAGTCCCTAGGTTTATACAAAATTGAATCCCCTTTGGCTAAAAATGCTCGAGGTCAAATATAGTTGAAATTGTCTAAGCTGTTCGGGACATGTAGTGTTTTAAAGGAAAAGTTGATGAACGAACGTACGGACAAAGGACGCCACGGCATAAAGCTTTGGGTTTATGCATGTATTGTATTTGACCCCAAATAAACCCTCCCCACTTTGGTAAATGTCTCAGAAAAAGAACACAGAATGTCAAAAATTTACTTATAGTGATCATAGGAGAGATGGCAAATGTAATGTTGAATGCTTGTCGGTTTCTCAAAATTAAGCCTCCTCCTAACTTTTGGTCAATCTTTTCCAGTTAAGGTGAGGGGCTTATACTTGCAGTCAAATGTAGTATCTTAATTAACTCATTCACCCCTGAAGATACATTTGAACTCCTCCAACTCAAACGTTGGAATAGTTCATTATGAATTTCAGGGTGAATGAGTTAAGTTTGTTAATTTTCAAAAGTTACAAAAGACATGTGCTGCAGACTTTCAGGATTGGAGCACCTTGCTAGACGTGAACAGTGCTGATTTTTACCTGGAGTGACTAGAAGTTCTGCTGTTGCCTCTGCGATACCAATGTCCATGACTGACCCAATCCCACAAATGTACGAGTCTGCATCTTCTACGGTCACCGAAGGAATGGTTAGTCTACCATCCTGGACAATGGACTTTAAGGGCATATCCTACAAAGGGAAAGATAAAGTTCCATGTTATTTATTGTGAAGGCATAGTATTATTAAACCTGTCTAAAGTGGCCTTTGTCTAAACTGAATCCCTTGCTATTCTGACTGATATTTTGTCCCAGCATTCCTTCTTTTGAATCATGATGTCAACCCTGTTTAAAATCAACCCAGTCTACTCAGAAATCTGATTTATTTTACATACCTTGCTTCTTCACATAAAACATTGTTAAAATTTTCCTCAGTCAGCTTAACCCTGCCCCCATTTTTGGGGACCACTTTGGGACTGAAATTTCCAGTATAAAAAAAACAGTACATTGTGTATTGTAGGGTGTCTGATGACACTGCACAATGCAACATTTTCAGATGATATTTTGTAAAGAAATGGCCTTAGGAGGGCCAGAAAACTGTCTTTTTGGACATATAAATTAAAGAAGTGGTAAACCAGTGTATGTTGGTTTCTATTGACACACACTGAGGCAATGTGTGAATGATTTTTCCCAGTTGGCGTCAAGAGTTTTTTTTTCTAAATCACCCGGAAAGGTGCATGAATACCATATTTAGAATGCTTTCATACAATGAATCAATCACTAAATTGAGTAAAAACCACATCATCGATGCTGTTTGGACAATGGGGTAGGTTCATATATCACAGCATTCCCCCTACAGTGCTTATAGGTACCCACCTGACTACCCCTTGTCCAAACAATAGGGAACCTTGCATCAGAGGATGAACAGTCAAACACAGCTGTCTCCCCTTCATTAAGAATAAGCTGGCTCTGTCGGATGGTGAGGGTCACAGTGAAGTCTGGGAACTGATCACGAGGAGTGACGTTTAGGGTAGTGGAGGCAGGTGTAATTCCGGTGACGTTGGCCGCACTACAGAGGTAGCTTCCGGCATTAGACAGCTCCACAAATGGAATTATCAACCGACCATTCTGGTTTTGCGATTGATTTGGCATTTCCTGAAAAAAGTATTAATAGAATATAAGAGAAGTTTATCCCATGAAAGAAAAGCACCAAATTCAGCACAGATTCACACAGATTAACACAGTGTCATGAGAGAACTGGTATAGACATAGCCTGTTGTGCAATCTTAATCATTTACCATCTTGAATAAAAAAAAAAAGCAATATTATTTACAACAATATGACAGTATAGACCAAGGAAGATCTAGCTGTGTAAAATAAACTGTAACATCTATTACCCCTAATGGTCTCGTCCATGTCAGCTCCACACCCACGTTACCCTCGGCAACACACTCCAGTTCAGCCACTCCCCCTTCTTCCACTGTCACTGTTGGACTTAGAGAAGTAATGGTGACCAAAGGACCTACAACAATTAAAATCAACCTCTTATCCACCACCTACAGATACTGATACTGTGTTTGTCATTAGGTGAATCATTTCACTCACCAAAACCATCACCGGAGCTAACTCCCCTTCCTACTGGGGGAGATTCTTTATACTCAAAATTAAATAAATTATGTGTATTAACCCCTTGGAGATAAAAAAATGCTTTAAAATGACATATTTTGAGTTGGTTTTGCATATGAAATCATCAGATCTTAGAATATAGGAATAGTTTAGAAAATTCACTGGTTGAAAATACTAAATTCAAGGGTCATATATTGGGAGCCTCCCTCCTAAATAGTGAGAGATGGCAAGAATGAGGTAGACATAATGGAAAGTGGTCACTCTAAGTGTTAAGTCACTTTAAGTGTTAATTCACTATAGATGTACAGTCACTCTCAGTGTTAAGTTACTATAGGTGTTAAGTCCCTACATAGAGGTGGTCACAATAGACAGGATATCACTATAGACAGTTGGTCAATGCAGAAAGGTAGACACTAAAGTCAGATTTGACTTACCACAGATAGTGAAGCTTTCATCAGAACCGTCAATACAGTTACGGACATTGTTACATAGAGTAGCAGTAGACACACATTCGCCACTGGTACACTCAAACTCATCAGCGTCAGGACACCGTGGAGCTGAAAATACATAATTACTGACATTAGTCCAATACACTTTTAAGTTAACCGTTTCATCCCTACACAACTTTAGTAGACTCTCCCATGCATTGATCTGGATGAGTTCATTATGGTCTACAGTGGTGAAAGGATTAATAAAAAATGAGAAATAAAGAACATATGATATTTATTTATTCGACTGTAACTCTTTGAAGTGATAAAAATAAGAAATAGTCCCAAACAGACTGAAACTCTTCTTTGTTGGCGATACAATTGTATTCATGGAAATGTTACTGATGCACTGGGTTTTGACTGTTAATACTATCTATACACTCACAGCCCACTTTGGTAGATTTACAAAGTGGCGATGCAGAGCATTTGTAAATATATGAAATTAACTCATTCACCCCTGAAGACACATTCTAACTCTTCCAATTCAAAGGTTGGAATGGTGTACGTACTATGAAACTTCAGAAGTGAATGAGTTAAGCTCCAACTTGCACATAGTTTGAGGAAGACTCATAATTATCTGACCTCCACAATTTCATTTCTATTTCAAAATACGTTACCACAGTCATTATAATGCATATTCCAACCTTACTTGGCTCTTTACATACGTAAATAAAGAATTTTTCCCCCCATGGGGAACCCCTGGGAAACCCACCAATCAGACGGCAGTATTCACGCACGTGATTTAAGACACGAAGCCATGCTTCCCACTTCATAATTCCTTCAGCCGGCCGTGTTTACGGACGTGTTTTGGTGTCTACGGGTTCCAACTACAACAGGCGTTGTTTGTACCCATACATTTACGTATCCTTTATAACTAGTTAACTTTATTTTGTTTTAATTAAGCTTTTTGCTTTGTTTTGCGCCGTTTTGCGACCAGGCTCCGGCCACGTGTTCGCGTTTTTGACGGTTTGTTTACGTTGAGATGGAGACTCCTCCTTCTCAAAGGCGCTGTCCTGGGGGTCATTTTTTTGAGGCTTCCGACCCCCACCCTTACTGTCCTGGCTGTCGGTCTTGCTCTCTGGAGCAGCCGTGTGAAATTTGCCGTGCCTGGCAGCCGACTCCTACCGGTGGTTCTCCCCGCCCGCGAGGGCGTGCAGGTAAGTCGGGTAGGAGGGGCGGTAGGGGTGGGGCGAGGGCTAAAGCTAGGCCTAAGCCCTCGGAGAGCACCAGCGGAATTCCGACCTCTGTCGAGTCTTCCCTGGGGTTCGTGTCGGCGGTTTCGACCCGTACCGGGGCCGCTGGGAAACAATTTGTTTCTTTGGACCCGCACCTTTCTCTCACCCCGCCTTCCGTTTTGTCGGTCGACGTGGGTGAGGGTTTGGGCTCTGTCCCGGTCACCACGGTGACTAGGGGACAGGGGGGCGGCCTTCTCTCCCAATTTGTGGTGGGAGGGCAGGTGGCCCAACATTCCCTTGGGAATATTAAACAGGCCAGCCATGTTGTGTCAGCGGATGCTTCTGTTGGTGGCCTCCTGCCGGTCCGCTCCACTCCTGAGGGTGTTGGTGTTGTCGGAGACCGGCCCCCGGCAGTTTTGTCTGCTCCCGGGGTTCCTTGCATCCCTGATGTAGCCCCTGGCGTGGTGATGGCGTCTAGCACGCCGTCCACCACTGTGCAGCATTTGCTGCCCGGTCCGGTGGTTAGTGATGCTTCGGCCTCGCTAGCCTCGGCTGGATTTTACGGTGGTGTGAGCACTGGTGTAAAAACCTATGCTTCCAGCTCTATCCCTTGTGCCTCCTCCCCAGGTTTTCCTATGGTAGGTGCCAGCGCAGCTGCGTTTGGTTTTGCCGGTGCACGCTGCTCCCCTGGTGGGGCTTGTTTTACTGGCCCTACAGGTTTTGGCCCTGCTGTAGGTCAGTCTGGGTGGAGTTGGTCAGGTCAGCCAGGTGTGGCTTATGGCGGCGGGTGTGTAGGTGGCCCTAGGTTCCCTACCCCGCCCCCCCAAACCGGTCCTGCCTCCGGTTTCGGGCATCAGGTTGGTGGCTCTGTTCCAGGGTCCTCCCTGGTTTATCCCACCTATTTGCAGGGTGGGAATGGAGCTCATTGGGGTCAACAGGCTCCTTTTTATGCTCCGCCCCAACCACCGACCGCCTATGGGCAGTCTTGGGGTTTCTCCCAGCAGGGGGCTTTTCCAGCCGCTCCCCCTCCACCCCAGGGTGGTATGGGTTTCCAGCCTGGATATGCCCCCCCCGCCTTCTTGCCTGCGGCGATGGGGCCCCCCCTCCATCCGCCACCGAGCCGTTCGCGCAAGCGTTCGCGCTCCCGGCCAGCTTCTGCTGCCGGTTCAGTCAGGCAGAGACCGCGTGATGCTAGGGCTGCTGGTCGTGCTGCGTTGGCTCGAGCTCCTATTTTGGAATTTGAGTCTACCAGTAACTTCCGCTGTCCGGTGTCAACTCCTACCTTACAGCAGGTTCCAGGGTCTTGTGGTCCTGCTCCTGCTGTTCCTCAGGGACTATCGATTGCCCCGATAGTTCCCTCGGGTAGGTCACGTTCTCTTTCCCCTCCTCGCACCCCTCCCCGGAGGGCGACGTTGATGGAGGTGGATTCGGCGGGTGCCTCTCCTAGTGATGAGAGGGACGTTCTTCGGGGCTCTCCTGGTTGCTCCAATTTTACGGAGACTCGGGATGAGGATAGAGTCGGCGAGTTTACTGACTCTGATTTAGAGTCGTTGGATTCGTCTGGGTTGGACTCAGAAGGCCCTTCTGATGTGTCCCAATCCCGGCCCCGAGATGCTGATCCGGTGCCTCCAGAGGTTTCGGCTTCATTTCGCACTTTACGTGCAGAAGTTATGAAGCTTCTGGGGGACGGGGTTTGCCCACGCCCTTCCACGGATTCGGCCGTCCCGGAGCGCACTTCGCTCCTTCAGAGCATGTTGCCTCCCCTAGCATCTGCCTCCTCGGCCTCTGCTAGGTCTCTTGCGGAGGGACGAGGCGTGGCTTCGTCCCTCGCTCAGGTCAACGCTTTATTAAAGCAGAAGGTGAGCAAGGCTCGCAAGCCTTTTTCCCTCTCGGCTTTACAGGTCGTGGTTGCGGACATCGCAGATTTAGCTGCAGATACGTACCGCATCCACGACCCAGTCTTGGCCCCTAATTCTGTTTCCCTTGAGAGGGATCTGGATAAGTGGCCGGGACGCTGTGTTGACCAGGTTGTGATGGGGCCTAGGGAGCACTCTAAGTTGGAGCGTCTCCTTAGGCTGGCTCTCCATGTTCTGTCCTACGCAGACTGGTTTACTTCTGCGTTGCTGGCTGCGAGCTGCAAGTCGGTGGAGCAGCTCCCCAGCAAGGTTGGACTGATGGAGCGCCTCAGCCAGGCAATTTGCAAGGCACATCTTGATGCGATGGCCTTACTGTCGGCTGCCATGTCACACCTTGTTGTTGCCCGCCGGTTGTCGGTCCTTTCTGGACTGCCAGTCGGCGATTCCTATCGGGCTACCCTTTTGGAGGCTCCCTTGACTGGCGAGGATTTGTTTGGCGGGGTCCTTCCCTCAGTGCAATCTGAGATGAGGTTGGACCCGTTTGCATCTGAGGATGCACGCCACAATTCCGCAGGCAAGGGCGCTAGCAGGAAGAGGCAGGCTTCTGGCTCCTCCAGGCGTAGGAGGAAGAGGGCAAAGACGACTGCTTTTCAGCAGCAGTCTGCCCCTCCGACTTCCGCTCCGGCAGAACGTCGGAAATCTTCCTTCCGCGGTAGGGGTTCCCATAGGGGTCGAGGCAAAGGCAAAGTTTCCAGAGGTAGGAAGGGTTCCTGACTCTTCCTTGCCCTTGCAAACTCCTTGTCCACTGTCTGTGGCCGCTCCCACGTCCTTGGGCGCGGGAGGCTCCGCCGAGGTGGTTTGGGAAGGGCTAGATTGGCCCCTTCCGGACTTGCCAGTAGGCGGTCGGCTGTCCCATTTCGTTCCTCAGTGGAAAGAAATCACTTCAGACAGTTGGGCCCTAGGGGTTGTGTCCAAGGGTCTCTGCATCCCGCTTCTTCGGGATCCACCTCTGGCGCGAGAGCCTATCTTTTTCCCTTCTCCTTCCGATCCGGGAAAGGTGGAGGCTCTCAGGTCAGAGGTTCAAGCCATGATCGCGAAGGGCGCGATCGAAGAACTTTCACGGGACCAGTGGTCTCCAGGGTTTTACTCCCGGGTCTTCCTCGTGAAGAAGAAGTCCGGTGCCTGGAGGCCTATTATCGACCTCAGTACGTTCAACACGTATGTCGATTCCCCGCACTTCCAGATGGAAACGCCACGGCGCATCATTGCGTCAGTGCGTCCAGGGATGTGGGCTACGTCCATCGATCTGAAGGATGCTTACTTTCACATCCCGGTCAGGAGGTCGGCCAGGAAGTTCCTCAGGTTCACTTTCGAGCAGAAGGTTTACCAGTTTCGCGCTATGCCCTTCGGCCTCACTACGGCCCCCTTGGTTTTCACCAAGTTGTTGCAGGTAGTAGTGGGGCACCTCCACAGTCTCGGGGTAGATGCACACATCTACTTCGACGACTCCCTGTTGCTCCAAGTGGATCCAGTTATCCTGTCCCGGAGCACGAGGTCGGTTCTGGGCGTTCTGTGCCGCCTAGGGTTCATCCCTTCCAGGGAGAAGTCGGAGGTTCTCCCCTCTCAAGATTTTGTTTTCCTCGGTTATCGGTTCAGAACCGATCTGGGGTTTGTCCTTCCACCAGTGTCCAAGTTCGAGAAGGCCTCTCTGTTGGTCTCCGTTCTGGTCGGTGTGGAGCGAATTCAGGTCCGATGGTTCCTTCGGTTCCTCGGTTACCTGAATTCATTGGCGGATGTGGTTCCCTTGGGTCGGCTTCACATCCGTCCGCTCCAGCTGTTCCTTCTGTCAGTTTGGTCTCCGGCGTCTCGACAGTGGGATGTGTACATTCCTCTGCCGGAGTCGGTGAAGGAATCAGCTCGTTGGTGGACTCTCAAGAGCAATGTCTTGGCAGGAGTTCCTCTGGTTCGGGCATCTCCTGCTATGACCCTTTACACCGACGCGTCCATGACCGGTTGGGGTGCATACCTTTCCGGTCAGACGTCGGCGGGGGTGTGGTCAGGGGAACAGCTTTCAGAACACATCAATGTTCTGGAAATGCGTGCTGTTCTGTTGGCCCTTCGGGGTCTTCGACCCTCCCTGCAGGGCAAGGCCATTTGTCTGGCTACAGACAACTCCACTGTGGTGGCTTATCTGCAGCGCCAGGGGGGCACCCGTTCCCCGGCTCTGTGTGCTTTATCCACCCAGGTCCTGTTGCTGTGTCAGGAGATCAGTCTCGATCTCACGGTGAGGCACCTTCCAGGTCGTCTGAATGTTCTGGCCGACACTCTGTCTCGGTCTCGGAGCCCGGTTCTCACCGAATGGACCCTCAAGCGTTCGGTGTTCCGGTCTCTTTGCCTGGTTTGGGACAGACCCCATGTGGATCTGTTCGCCACGGCCCTGAACTTTCGACTCCCTACATTTGTGTCTCCGGTTCCAGACCCTATGGCCATGGCGGTGGATGCTCTATCCCAGGACTGGTCGGGAATGTACGCGTATGCGTTTCCTCCCTTCAATCTGGTGGGCAGGGTGTTGGAAAAGATCCTTCTACACCCTTGTACTGTGTTGCTGGTTGCACCGCTCTGGCCTCGACAACCTTGGTTTCCTCTGTTGCTTCGGCTGTCGGTGGACTTCCCACGCAGCATCCCACCCCTGTGGGATCTGCTGTCTCAACCGAGGTCCCGACAGTTCTACTCGGGACCGGAACGGCTCCACCTTCACGGTTGGATGCTATCTCGGGAAGGCTCACTCAGACGGGCTTTTCTCGAGAAGTTGCAACTCGCATCGCAGGATCACTTAGACCTTCGTCTTCCGCCGTCTACCAATCTCGATGGTCCGCATTCGGTGATTGGTGTGTCGGACGGTCGATTGATCCAGTCTCTGCCTCTGTTCCCGTTGTAGCTGACTTTCTTTTGTCTCTGTTCAGGGACAAAGGTCTGTCTCCGGGAACTATTGCAGGCTATCGTTCAGCCATTGCTAGTGTGCTGGCTTTCTATGGTAGCAAGTCAGTGGGCTCGGACGCTTCATTGTCGGCTCTCATTAGGGGCTTCTACATTGAGAAGCCTCGTTCACGGCAATTGGTCCCTAGGTGGAATTTAGCACTTGTGCTAGATTCCTTGTTAAGGGCGCCATTCGAGCCCCTCCAGTCGACAGATCGGAAGTTTCTTACTTTCAAGACTGTGTTCTTGATAGCCTTTGCTTCCGGTCGCCGCAGAAGCGAGATTCATGCTTTCAGCAGATCTTCTTCTTGCCTTCGTTTTTCGGCTGGCCATTCTTCGGTCTCGGTGACCACTGATCCCTCCTTTTTAGCTAAGAACCAGGTTCCCGGTTTCACCCCAGGGCTTGTGGTTATCCCTTCTTTGGCTTCAACTCTGGATGGGGATTGTCCTGATCGCCTGCTCTGCCCAGTTCGGGCCTTGCGTTACTACTTGGCCAGAACAGAGGGGGGGGCGGGACACTCGTCTCGGCTGTTCCAGTCTCTCCAGCCCGGTCGCTCTGATATCTCTGCAGCGACCATCTCACGCTGGATTGTTCAGACTGTTCGAGCTGCGTATGAGTCGGCAGGGGATCAGTCCTTGCGGGTGTCAGGGGTTAGGGCTCATGAGGTTCGCGCTTTAGCTACTTCGTGGGCCTTATTTAATGGTTCTTCTTACGCTGAGGTCATGACAGCTGCTGTTTGGAGGGGTCATTCTACGTTTACGGAGTTCTATCTCCGATCTTTGTCGGGACAGTCTGACGGATTGTATTCTTTGGGCCCTCTTGTGGCTGCCCAGTCCGTTGTCTGTCCTCCCTCTTCTTTTGCATAAGCCTCATTATGTCTTCTCCGCGTGATCCGGAACGCTGGTCGTAATCAGGCTTTGTGTCACAAAAGGAAAGGGTATTTTGAATTTTTCCTCCGGGGGTATGGGTCCTATTGTTGGAACCCTTCATCGCTCCACGGAGACACCACTGCGGTAAGTCGAATTCGCATTATAATGACTGTGGTAACGTATTTTGAAATAGAATTGAGGTTTCTCTTGTGAAACCAATTTCTATTATAAATACTTACCACAGTCATTAGGTGAGTTCCCTCCCAGCCTCCCCTTGTCTCCTTGGCTCTCACTTTTTTGGGCTTTGGAATTATGAAGTGGGAAGCATGGCTTCGTGTCTTAAATCACGTGCGTGAATACTGCCGTCTGATTGGTGGGTTTCCCAGGGGTTCCCCATGGGGGGAAAAATTCTTTATTTACGTATGTAAAGAGCCAAGTAAGGTTGGAATATGCATTATAATGACTGTGGTAAGTATTTATAATAGAAATTGGTTTCACAAGAGAAACCTCAAATTTAAACAGATACATATCTATTGTTCTTTTTACATATATCCTTGGGAACAGGTCATTTAAAGCACCATTGGGAAACTATGTGTTCATTAAAAGTTCAGTAAAATACACACAGAGAAACAAGTATATACAAACTTCCGCATTTTTCAGGTGTTTCATCTGATCTGTCAGCACAATCTACAACGCCATCGCATAAAGCGTCCGGTTTAACACAGCTGTTGTCATCACACTTGTGTTGACCCTCCGGACAGAATACCTCAGCTGTAAAAAGTTATATAATCAAGGTCACTCAAAGTAGGTTATTCAAAGTCACAGTGACTTAGTGATATTAATAATGTACCAAGGCCAGAAAAACATGTAAAAATTTACCTCTAAAATATCAAATGTTTTTGTTCATAACAGAGTTTTGAACCATAAATATATAAATCACACATAAAATCTACATGATATTCCTGGTTATTAGTACATTAAATATCCTTAACTTTGACAATGAATTTTTACAGGGCTGGTATAAGGTGGGTGGAAGGAAGGGAAAATTACTTGCTTGTACAATCAATCAGCATAGGACTGATAATAGGTAGGGGGGGAAGGGGAGATAACTTACGGGTACAATTTGTCTCATCGGAGTTGTCATTACAGTCCTGGTAGCCATCACATTCGTACTCCTTGGGGACACACTCGCCATTTTTACACTTGAACTGGTTAGCCTGGCAGGAGGCTGGAAAAATACAGGTAGCTACAGGTAATATACAGGTAAATTGTAATAAACAGGTTATAACTATAAACTATAAAATTCAAGTAACGTGAAACCTGAATTTTTGGCCTGTCAAATTTCATCCTCTGGACTTTTAAAACATCCAATGTTGGATTCACCAATTGCATTCGTATCAGCACTTACAACATACATAATGTGTTCATGGTGGTTGAAATATTGCTCTTTTGTTTGAAGCTGAATAGGGGGAAATTATAACGGGGGACAGAGGGTATGTAAATGTTCCGTTACAGTCTCTATACAGGCATTTAGATGTGTTTTTGATACATATAAGACTGATCATTAGACTCTAAACAACAAGTTTTCAACATTTCAAAAATAGACTGAAAAGCAGACTCTAAACAAAAACATCAGATTTTTCATTACATGAATTTGATATCTCCCACAAGAGATCTCAGGTCTCAATACTTAATCTCTATAAGAAGTAAAAATATCTATGCTTGTCTAAATATGTAGACGTTTTTGTATGTGTACTATCACTAGGAAAAGCATTCTTGATAGCCTGTGTTTAAATAATCCACATCTAATACATGTAGCTGTTAATCAATAATCAAATGTATACAAGATTAATACAAAATAAGTGCTATCATTCTATAAACACTTTGATACATTTTTCAGTAACATTTGACAAAAGATTTTTCTTCAAAAACATGATACCTGCATTAAGAAAGTTTACAATTAACAAGGCCATAAGCTGTTTTGACCTTATAAGATTAAAAACATTAACAGCAAAGTTTTGTACAAATTACTGCATCAACATGGGACAATGAAAGCCTATCTGCAAATATACAAAAATTGAAACTGGTGATGCTCATTTTGATTATTTTTTTCATATTAATGAAATTTAAAATAAATTACACAGAAAGATTTGTATTTCCTGGCAAAAAATCATGTAAGAAAATAAAGCACACAATATTTCTATTCTGCAAAACAAACAGTTTATAACAGGTCAATGTAAATATCAAAACCAATATTTTCTTTAATTAAATTATTAAAAATTAAAAAATATTAACTGTTTCTAATAAGCAATATATTGTATTTAAAAAGGTAGATTCAAATACTAGAGCAGAAAGTGGTTCTTCCCTACAAAACAAAAACGATACAATTCTTTAAGAGTACAGAATATAACAGAATAACAGCAGAATTCATTGACAGACATGCAGTTACATGAGGAATGAATTAAGAATTGTATAGTTACATGTGCATGAAATATCACTTTGTAGCAACAAAATATAGTAATAACATTTACATCAAAATAAAATGACAAAACATTATGTATATTGCTAGCAAAAGCCAAGAAAAATGTTAAATATTAAATCAAAACATTAAAGCAAATTAACAAATTCATTACTATTAAATCTTATTTAAGTTGATGATAGGAAACACTACAAGTCAAAGGCTTATAATATATGTATATATATGCTCCCCTCCCTGTTTACAGTACAAACAAGAACTGTAAGACAAATGTTAACTTTAATACATATGATATGATTTTTTAACTATACCAGGTTGCAATAAAAATGGAATAAAAACTTTTTAAACCCTACGTATCACATAAAACCACCATGTCTAATTTAAAAAGAGGGGACTTTTGGATTTCAAAATTAAGCACTTTACCCCCATGGACTATTTTTAGTTACAGTGACCTTGACCTTACACAATTTTCAAACCCTTATTGCACATCTACACATCACATTGTACATGTATTACCATGTCAAGTTAAAAAAAAAAAAATGAGACTTTTGGATTCCAAGATAAGGACTGTAGCCCCAATGGTCTATTTTTAGTAACCTTGACCTTGATCTTAGACAAATTTTAAATCCCTATATCACATCTACATTTCACTGTGTATATCCATGTCAAATTTCAAAAAGATTTGTCTTTTGGATTTTGAGATAATCTCCGAAAATGAAAGTGTGGAAAGACAGACAGACAGAAACCTTGATTACTACAGGACACCTGCATCTCTGAGGATGGGCCTTAATAGGACAGCAACACAAATTGCAATGACTGTTAAAATGACAGTATAACAATGACAGACACGTTGAATATGCACAAATACAATGAAGTTGGTTAAGTCAACAGAGTTTTAAGAAAAGTTGGACTGAGAGTAACGGAAAATTAAGTGTCTGGACAGAAGTCTGACTATAAAAAGAAAGATGAACAGACAAGTTAATTTCAGAAAATCTTGACTAATTTATTCACAGAGAGCCTACGAATACTACTAAATGTTTCTGTTATCATTTTCTGATTAGTAAGCAATCTGTTCCTGTCATGCTTTATGCTATCACAAATTCCAACATGTCAGTGGCGTTACACTGCACTCATCTCTTATCATACATGCACAAGCAACACTCTTACAAAACCTGATGATGATGGTCTGCCATGGGGGAACCAGAAAACCATAATGAGGCAACACCTCTGATCATATGACAAGCATATTCACAAGAAAGGAGTAGCTTTTCAGCATTTGATTATCCAGATCATGTTGTCTTCTTAATCCAGTAAATACACATGTCACTACATTTGACATGGGAAAATAGGCAAATTCAAAATATATTTTTAAATTATGGCCGAATATGTAATTCTGGATTGAAAAATGTATGAAAAAAAATCAATTTTTGCCTATTGCTCCACGGTTTATTATTTTCTTCCCACATTTTCTCACTTCATTATATATCCCAAAATAAGCATGCACATATATTGATTATTTCTTAAACAAAATTACACCCTCTATCAACATGACTTTCGAGGAAGACACAGCTCTGCAGGTGTCAACCGATTTTGTCAAAAGTAATTTCACTGTATTCATGCATTAACTCATTCACCCCTGAGACACATTTGAACTCTTTCAATTCAAAGGATGGAATAGTTCATTATGAAATTTCAGGGGTGAATGAGTTAATCGTACACTTTCCTTTGTAGATGTATGATATCTTCCAATCAGAAAAAGCAATATATGTATAGCATGACAGCAGTTAATCACACCTTATCAATTAGCATAATGCAATGTTATCTTTTCCTGAATAGCAAATGCACTGGTAAGTTGAGTAAAAAAAAAGCAGCATGTCTTTCATGAGAGCAAGCAATGCATTTATCCCATCGTATAATGCAATGTACTTTCCATATCAGCAAGCGTATGTGTTTGTCCAATCAGAAAAGGCAATACATATCAGCAAGCAGATGGTAAGTGTCCAATCAAAACTCAGGTGCTTTATATTCCAGTGAGCAAATGTCATGGTAGATGATGGATCTGTGAGATTCCAGTTGGTGTGCAGGTATAATTTCCAAGGCGAGTGTGTCATAGATTTATATATCCGATAAAGCGTAGCAATTTCTAGTCAGCAAGTGAAGGCATCTTTCTTCAAGCTGTGATATCTGGCAATCATGTGACTATCCTGTACGTGACTTACGACAGTCCAACTCGTCTGTTGTATCGGGACAATCATAAGTTCCATCACATCGGAGTCCTTCATCTATACATTGCCCCATCTCACATCGAAACTCTGTCGGCTTGCAGGGTACCGACTCTAAGTACAGACAAACCCATTTCATCACTGACCAAGATCCAGTCTTTTAGGTATAAATGCCATTGATAAAAACTTTATACAAAATAAATAAGATATTTCAACATAAACGTAAAGCTAAAATGTGAAATAATGTCCCTGACCTGAGCCAACATATAACTATTTTGCAAGCCCTTTATTGGTTGAACAATGCAATACATTCAAAAGATTAATATACACTTATCTATGATTGGCTAGTATGCATGTTTCTCTATATAGCTAGTTGGTTAATCAAAACTTGACTCTGATTGGTGGATCTACATTTGTCTCTAATTGGCTAATCTCATTTGACTCTGATTGGCTGATCTACATTTGATTCTAACTGCTTTATCTACATTTCTCACTCATTACTTCAGCTCTGCTCAGCTATGATTGACTCTGATAAGGTCAGCTACCTTTGACTTTTGATTGGGTAATCTGCATTTTATCCAAATTGGTTGACCTATTCTCGACTCAAAAAAGGTTCATCTGGTTTTCCTTTTTGAACCATTGTACATGCATAATACCATTCCTTCATAATCATATAGTTCATTTATTATATAAATATTATTGTATATGATTTTCTCCTCGAGAAATGTCATTTCACTTTAAAGAAGGCTGCAGTTATAGAAGAAACCTACATGTATACATCATGCAAGTATCACTAATCATGCTACATTTATAGACATTTTTTGCCTGCTAAAACACAAATATTTAGTACATAATTCACCATAGATAACTGTACCACAGTGATACAATGTAAAAAACAATACACACAACAATAGCACCATGGGTCATTACCACCAATACATATAAAGCCCCAGTCACATATTGTGGTTGGCCTCTGATTACTGACCAAAGCCCAATGCTTCCCACCACAATGCTTTGACAACTCAAGCAAGGGGTTTATAAAAAGAACTTAAATAAGGACAATTTGTATGAAGATTGCGATATCTAGAAAACCTTTTCAGAATGTGCATTTCAGAGAGATTTTCTACAAACAAAAGATACTGCTGACAAAAAGTTTAAAATGATCGAGATTTTATGGTGAGAACAGTTTAGGAAATAGGTGTTTAGCATAGAAAACGTCAAATAGAAAGTGCTTCATTAAGTAATGACAAGCACTTGAAAACTGTTTTAAATACCACGCCTACAACAACACCAAACATATTGTGATTGTTTAGTGGGCAGAATATCACACAACTTTACATCAACTAATATGTATAATGTTCTGTTTTATCTGTGTATTTCAGTACAGATAATCGCCTCAACTGGATCATATATCATACATATTCATTTATCTTTTTAACAAACACACATCACATTTATTATTAAAGATTTTTTTTTTTTTTTGGCTTCCTCAAGTATATTTGATCTATCATATCAATAGATATATTTAAGCCATATCTTAACCTTAGCAAAGAATTAATGTCTGGTAAATACAAGATTTTGATCCTTATGATTGTACTAGTCAAGTCATGCCATGACTTTAGTAAACAATGGATAATCTAACACAAAATGAAAAAGTCTTGGGAGTCTTTTGATAATAACATAAATGTTTTGAATAAAAAACAAATCTAGTACTTCTTGTAGTTTTTAAAATGTTACAAGGAATTTCAGGTGAAAGAATTGTTCAAATTTTACATTTGGATTTTTCTTTTTTCATAATAACTATTTTTCAGGGTATGTAAAAAAAAATCTGCAAGTTTCTTACATGGTACATTACAGCATACATATATAATTATATATCTATAAAGAAGCCTTGAGAAAATGTTGTAGACATGCATGTGCAGGAAAGATAATTGGGTTCAGAATCTCATGGGAATTAAATATAAGGGATATGTTACATTTCTGCATTCATGAATATAGAATATTTATGTACTTAACATAACAGAAACAGATGTAAGCTTAAGTACAGGATGCTGACTGAACAGATACAGTTTTTACAGGAATATATTTTAAAATGCACTAGATACAAGACATATTTTATATTTTCTGGTTGCTTTTAACAGCTGGGTTTTGGTTGCAGGATATTTACAGGATTCTGGCAGAATAACGCAGTATTACCTAGGAGGAGGATTTCTAGCAATACAAAACAGGACACCATACTTTCATACAGACACACTGTACATGTGACACACATTTGTCTATATCCAGCGCAATGCTGTTGGATAAAGCCCCTCCAAAACCTTCTTAGCTTAACTTGGTGCTAAACATACTTTTCTTAACTCATTCACCCCTAAAATTTTATAATGAACTATTCCAACCCTTGAAAAGGAAGAGTTCAAATGTGTCTTCAGGGGTGAATGAGTTAACATATTTACCTTCACATTGAAATGTATATACAGTGATAAGCTCACATTTCCCTATATGACTAATAAGACCCCAGAAAAAGATGAAATAGAGACATCAGACTGCATGGTTACAGTAATTCATCCTATACAGTAAAACCTTGATATAATGCCCCTCGTTTCTTTTGCCATAGTAATTGTTGCCAACACATTTCAAGTGTCCCTTTTCTTTTTTTTCTTTACATGTCTCATTCTTACCAAATCCCTTTTTAATGCCAAAATTTCTCTGAAGGGTTGAGGGCAATATAACTTGGTGTAATCGATACTGACAAGTGTTTTTTCCCAGATAGGACACTCATCTGTAAATTCTGTTTAATAAGTGGGTGGGCTTATCAGTGAGCATGTGCTTATCATGTGTAATATTTAATAAAAAAATATGGTTTAAATCTTTTTGAGAGTATAAATATATAATATTGCATGTGCACAACACTTTTAGCAGATAATGAAAATGAGATACAAAATTTGAGTTCAAAAAGTTGGAAAAATTGAAAAGCTGAAACCTATTTATACATTTACATAGAACATTGCTATTGTATGTTTAACACCATCAGCTAAGTAAGAGGGTTTGAAAGCCTTTTTACACAGTATCATGACAAGGTCACTAGAGGTCACAAAAGGTCATGAAAGGTCACAAACCTGTTGGACTGGTTGCTGTTGAAAGAAAGAGTAGAGACAAAGTTTTATCAAACCTTGTTCCATAGGAGAGCAAAACAAACATCAGTTTTTAACTCATTCACCCCTAAAGTTTCATAATAAACTATTCCAACCTTTGAATTGGGAAAGTTCAAATGTGTCTTTAGGGGTGAATAAGTTAATGGAAGACAGACAAACACATCAAATCATTCATTTCTTAAAAAGGAAGGAAAAAATATTGAAATATTGTTTAAATCAGAACAAAAGAATCATCACACCACACTGAACTAATATTAGTTCACTGAAAATGTTTATTTGTTCCTAAGAACAAACACGTTGTGTAGTTTCTAACCTGTTCCTTGTTATCAGGTGAGGTAGAATACAATCTAGTGCTATACCAGCATATTATCATGATATAGAAGTGTAGCATTGTCGGCACATCTATTGTTCTAGTTCGGCTGCTGGATAATTAGCAAATCACAAAAGTAAGCATAATTTTATTTTTCTAGTAATTAGGTTTAGCACTCCGTAAGTTGAGACATGACTTCACAAAAGTATGGAACTACAGTCAGTTCAAAATCTATAAAATTCAGTTTGTTTATTATTCCAATATGTTCAGGTCTTTTATATTTATAACTAGCAAATTAAAGCAAGTACTGTTTTCACACTACTTAAGCGTATCTAGATTTGGCTGTAAAAATGATTTCTTAGCAATGAGTTCATAGCCAGTTTTTGTTCATTAGTTATGTATGTGTTTTAAACAAATCTCACAACACATCACATAATTTTCAAAGGCTTGAAAATAGCTCTGAACAAAATTAACTCATTCACCCCTGAAGACACATTTGAGCTCTTCCAATTCAAAGGTTAGAATAGTTCATTATGAAACTTCAGGAGTGAATGAGTTAAGCATCAGCGAATTAAATCTGATCTGCAGTGCACAAGGGTAGGATTATTGGAGACTTTTTGTTGGACACTTACGACAGGCTAATTCATCAGTTCCGTCGGTACAGTCCGACACCGAGTCGCACCTCAGATTCTTGTCGATACACTGTCCACTACTACACTGGAACTGCTGATCAGTACATGGCACTACAGCTGTAGGAAAACACAATATCGACACAGTCGCAAAGTGGCTTAAACCAGCCAACCTTTCATTAATCTTATACAGTGTTCCAACACTGTACATCATGAAAGTCCCAAATGTTCAGGAAGGTATTTCAATTATATCATGAAGTTTTTAAAAACAAAATGTGTGATCGTGTCTGGTAGTTTTGTTATCTTCAATGCACGTTTATTTTATGAAAATATGAAGTGAAAGACTTAATTAGAATCAAAGCGACATGCTAATTATGGAACTCCAAAAACCAAAATACTTACTGATGGTCCTGAAATTAATACTTAATTCTTCACTATGCAGAGAAGTTAAAGCTCAGAAAACCAATTATAATTCTTGCATCAAGAAGGAATTAAAGAATTAAAAAGAGAAGCAACATGCCAAACATTACAAGCCAGATAGGATTTGAAAGTTCAAATAACGTTAATTTTAATTGATTAAAAGTAAAAAACCATGAAGACAAAAAAGTTATATATCTTTGTTAAAATTAGTCTCCTCAATAAACACTAAACATACCACGGTATATCAGTAACAGAATAGGTATTCAGAAAGGCCAATAATTTTTCAAATATAAAAAACCTTAAATTACCTGTTATCAATCAAGTTTAACGAAAGTATCAAAAGTATTTAGTGTGAGATACTAAGCGTATCAAACAATTTCTTGTAAGATATTTATTTCCAAAAATTACTTCGTGAATCTTTAAAAAAACAAAACTGATATCTTAACATTTCCATTCTGATAAAGAATGAAAATTGGCATGTTTACAGAAAAAGGAGACTGAGTTTAAGTGTTACTACAAAATTCTGTCACGATATCATTAACACATTCACCCCTGAAATTTTGTAATGAACTATTCCAACCTTTGCACTGGAAGAGTTCAAATGTGCCTTAAGGGGTGAACGAGTTAAGAGGCCACAGTAAAATTGTTCCAATAATGAGGTGAACAGTGTGAAAGAGCCTTACGACAGCCTTCCTCGTCACTTCCGTCAGTGCAGTCCTCCTGGTTGTTACAGAGGAAGGCTTGGGGGATACACTGAGGAGTGGAGCGACACTTCACCTCCCCCTCGTTACAGGTCACCGGTGCTGTAATTGCAGAGGTTGTAGAGTGATTGTAACTCACATTGAACATGATTGAATATAGTCTCTCGCACATTTGTCCATGCTTGCCAATAATCTAAAAAAGTACAACTTGGATCTTCACAATATGAAAACCAGTAACCATGATTCTTCAGGGGATTTATACTTCTTAACATGTTTCACAAATTGAAGAATGTTTTTTTCATCTTTGCAGTAAATCCATGTTATATGTGGGTTTTTTTTTTTTTTTTATTTTCACAATAATTCTTCTTTTTATGGGCTTATGCAGAAAGTACACAGGAAGCTACAGCAACTATGAAAAATATTATTTATGAAAATGACTGAGAGTAGTATCCATAAAACTCTAGAAGTATAGTATTCAAATAAACATGAAACTGACACTATCCTTTCACACAAATGTACACTTTTCACTGTAGGAGCTGTACTACTGTACATACCACAATCCTTCTCATCTGACTGGTCATAGCAGTCATTCTGACCATCACACCTGTACCGGCCGTCAACACACTCTCCGTCATCACAGGTATACTGGTCAGGCTTACATGTTAACACTGAATCTACATCTCCTGCAAATCATGTCAAATATTTGTTTTACATCGACTAGGGTGCATTATGTTTGGGTTTTTTATAGTTATATAGATTGAAACTTTAATAAAAACCAGTCACTTTCATTCCCACCAAAAAAATCTGGACTGCAACATAACTTGACTACTCAATTGATTAATTAATAAAATATTAACAAGGTGTATTTATATCAGGTCAATTCAGTTCAGAAATTAAAACAAAGGCAACTATCTATAGTTATTTAGAATTAATAAGGGCAAAGGTAAAATTCTGTTAGATGTGCCAAACTTTTCACAATGATTTTGAAGAATTCTCATTTGACAAACAGAGCAAGTTGAAATAAAGAGTTCCTTTATTGAAGAAGAAAAACTGAAATTATCAAAATTTTCTCTTTATAGTGTGTGAAGTTTTTTACCCTGTAAAACACCAGTGTAGTCCATAAGAGCTCTAATAGAAAAGGTTGCCCCAATATCCTCATACAGCACTCTCTCTAGGCTAAAAATAGATCCTGTTTCTACGTCCTCCTGGTAGAAGGTGGCGTAGTAATTCTGATAAAGCTCCTCCGATGTAACATCACCGGCTCTTGCACTTGCTACAACGCCCTCCTCAGCATCCCGTGGGTAAAATATTCCAATGAAATCCCCTTTTTCTACCGCGATCGGGGGATTTGCTACTACGGTGTGGTTGCCTACAGCAGCAATAGGAAGCTCAGTCTGGCCCACCAGAATGAACTCCTCCGGGGAAATCTGTCGCCACACGCCAGCATACCCAACGTACCTTGGTACGATTCTGTAATAGTTCCACCCCACGACATACCCACGGCAGAAAAACTCGTTGTTGATGAGGAGGTTGGCACGGTTGTCTCCTGATCGAGGTAGTGGATTGGCATCTCGACCTGTGTAGTCAGGACAGGCACGGCCATCTGTAACAACAAGGGCAGATAACTCATGTCATGTTGGTGTCTGACAAATACATACACACTAATGAAGAATTAAACCACTGTAGTCCTTAAATACACATCTTTATGTTGGTTTATAAATAGTTTCAAAATTACAAGATTTCTTCAAACAATATTTTTCTTGACATTAATGTCATTGTTGTTATCCTTCTGTATATCTATTCGACTATCACGGAAATATCATACTCTATCAGAATTGCACCGGACTAAGGTACAGAAAAGTCGTTTGGACAGCATGTTCAGACATCTAATATCAACAGTCACTCTGGCAACTTCATTCTCTGATAAACGTATTTGCAAGTTTCTAATACACAAGTAATATTAAGTTTTCTTCAACAGAGATTTGAAAATGGCTAGAGTGACCTATTTTCAATAAACAGTAGACTATGACCTTGAACTTGGCCACAACACCCTGAAATAAAATTGTTTGTAGTACTGGCACAGTCATATTTGTATGAAATTTGATTAAAATTCATTCTGAAATGAAGACACCAGGTGATATCATAAAATAATTTTCCATAAATAGCAATGAGGACCTTGACCTGGGTACCCTGAAGACATATGACTCAGGGAATAAGCACAATAAAACAAAAACAGATTTGTTAAGTTTTATGTGCCCTAAAACCAAATCTATACTTATTTGGAACTTTTTAATATTTTACATGTGATGAATAGAAAACAAAGTGAATGGAGATAAAAACATTCCTCCTTTTTAATAGTATAACAGAAGGTCTTTTGTAAAGACTTTCTGAGATAAAGTTACAAAAACGTTTCCCTTGGTTACATGCAGACGTGTATTTGTAATATTAATCCAACATCTCCGTTAGGGCCACATCTATGTTCAGGGCCACATCTCCGTTCAGGGCCACATCTACGCGCAAGCATTATATTTCATCAATAACTAATATTCTTTGGTGCATTCCACCTTAACAAAACTGGTGTTTAATAGGAAAACCTTTCCCATTTGTTAAATCAGCTAACTAATGCTTTAAGTTTTGTCTAGACGCAACCAGCTAGTATACATTTCCAACTAACACATAATATATCATTCTATCTCTCCTTGCAGGTGTCTGCAAAAAAAAAAACTGATTCAAGTCAATCATGTTTTGATAGAATCCAGAAAGCCATAAAAGCTATCTATTTTTTGAGACTTTGGAAAACATTTTTAGTAGTTTGAACAGAGAAGCAATTCAGGAACACAAAAGTGTTTTTCACAAATTAAAACCTCATTACATTGAAATAAGACAGAGTCTACTTAATACCTCTTCCCTACCAAATGAAATGGACTGATCTGTACCAATGGCAGGTTTGAATTGGTTGGGAAGAAGAAGGGTTGTCAGATCACCAGCACTAATACCCAAAATCAAGAAAGCCTGAGGAAAAAATGTATGCTATCAACATACCAAAGTAACATTTTTATTTCTCATCCCCATTAGTAACTCAGTCTTAAGTGACTTCATATGTTCCTGTAGGTAGGATGTATCGTGCATAATCTTCACACGCCATCTTCCAGTGCATTTTACATGTGTTGCTATAAAGTGGAAAAAACTGTTAACTTTACACTTACGAAAATTTACAAGGAAAAATTCAAGTGATAGACACATGAGAACAATACAAACTCTGTTGTAGAATAAGCATGATGTCATAACTGAAGTATCGTTACCGCCGGAATAGCGAGATTGAAATGCAGAACATTTTCAGTTCATTTGGAATGAAAACATTGATTGGTTGAAATCCTCCTAGGTCCATTAAGGTTTAACGTGTGATTATAATAATGGTATACACTATATGAACAAATTCCGAAAGAAATACATTCTTTCAAACATGAACACAAAGGGATCTGAGTGTCTGTTTGCCTCCCCTCTCTGTAACCCCCTCTCCCAACCAAAAACAATGAAATAGACAAGCAATCATAGAATAAACTTGTCCCGTGTATCATACTGTCTGCAGTTTATTAATCTTTCTTCAATTTTACACTTAATTTGAACATGTAGTTGTTAATACATTCTATGTTGACGCTATGAGAGATTAACTCATTCACCCATAAGACACATTTGAACTCTTCCAATTCTATTTCATAATGAACTATTCCAACCTTTGAATTGGAAGAGTTCAAGTGTGTCTTCAGGGGTGAATGAATTACTCACAAAAAGTTTTCTAAACAGTAATGATCCCTACTCCAAACATAGTAGTTGGTATCCCTTCTCTTAGTGTTCCTCACAAACCTCTCCTCGACATCTTTGCTGATTTATGACTTTCACACACACCTGATCATTCCTTAATGCAATTTCCCTTTATTACACATACACATGCATCTGACAAGTTGAATCCATTTGACTGACCCTCTCCTCGGTACACTTTGCTTCCCTTGTCAAGTATTATTACAGTTGGCAGTCTGTTACCTGTTAACTTTTTCTCTCGATCCCTGACTATTATTACAGCAGTAATTTCATCTTGGTACCAGACAGTTTGACCCTTCCTTGGCTATTTATCCTTGTCCCAGACATATATGACTGAACCTCTGCCCACCTATGAGTATCCCTGTTTCTCCTATACACAATGTATAGAAAGTTTGCCCCCCACCCCCCATAAATCACCACAAAATGCAATTTTATTCTGGAAATATTTTGGTACTTTAACAGGTGTTTCCTTGGTTACTTGGAGCCAATGTATGACACATTCATGGTTTATGAAGAAAACTAATCCATTTCTACAATGTGTTACTTTTTCTTCAACGAAACTTTGTCCTTGCTAAAACCAATAAAAATTTATTTTTCGTGTGACTCAAGTTACATACCGTATTTATGTATCAATGAGCCCCTCCACAGTGTCACCCATATGTTTTCATATAGTCTTTATACCTTTCAAAATTACATTATCTCTGTATGTAAATTTGCCCTTATAACCAGTTCTATGTTGATGGGCAGTGCTGTTAAGCATGTGACATTAAAATAATGATTACAACATTAATATCACTTTTATATTAATCCTAATATCACTTTTTTATTAATCCTAATTCCTATGTTAGTTATATAAATGGTAAAAATAAAGACGGCATGAAAATTGATCGTTTTACAATAAGCTCCTCTGTAAGATGGTTACCCTTTGTTCTATTAACACAGGTGTAGTACAGTTAATAGTTCTACTGAATTGTCTTAAGGTAGAGCATACCAGTGTTCTTGTTGCATCTCCAATGAAGAAGAGTTCCAATTTATTTGGCATTTTTTTCTGACTTGGAGTTAATTGTCTGTCCATTTCCTGTAGCAAAAAGTTATTTACAAAAGAAACTTATTTACTATTGATTTCTTTTTTCATTGATCTGGATGAGCCCATTTATGGTCTACAGTGGTGAAAGGGTTAAACATATGTTTCAGTAAAAGTTTAATCATGTGATGGTATATTGCCTGACTTTTAATATCAATGTGACCAGGTGGAAAGAAAGTATAGGTTTGGATCGATAGATATACTAATCATTGTACGATCACACCTTTTTCTAGTTCATTGGTTTGATATGATGCATTAAGATCATGTCATGTGATTTCCGGCACCGTGTGATTTCACTCCGAATTATTTTGCTGACAAGTCAGAAATGGACTTGTGATTCATGGTTTCGAAACAAATATCCACTTAACTTTTTAGACTTTCCTATTTTAGATATAAAGGGCCTTTGTATGAAATTACTACAAGAAATTTTAATTATACCAAATAATTTTACCCATAATAATATAAAAACATTATGTATACGTCATGTTTCAATATAGCTGTTGTGGGGATTATTTTTTCTGATTTAATATAGACTCATAATGTTACTAAGTAGGACCTAGAACTACGTGATATTATATGTTACCAAAGATCAGGTGTGAATCTTTTTTAAAGGAAATATTGTCTTTCAAAATTCCAGCTTTCCAATACAGTGTGATGTAATATGGAATACCTGGTAATAGCTATTTATCTTCAATAAGTAACTCTGATACAATCGCTTAAGCATTCATAACCGTATAATAGTGTTATTCCGCAAACATACAAGAAACTTCACCTAAACAAATCAAACCCATGAAAATTTGTTGCAAGACAAAACAATATGGTGTATTGTTGTATCAACACATCAAACAAACAGATCATTTCTCTGCAATATGTATCAAAGGGAGACAACCCACACCCAGTTGTTTATACGTCTGATACCACCGGCGATGATGCCTTTTTTCAATCAAGTCATCCCCAACAGAAACATTACTGTATACATGTACATGTAATTGGTGTGGTCTGGCGGCTTTGTGTTCCTCAGGCTTGACTAACATGCAGTTGATGTATCATCCAGATTTCCTGGTATGAGTCTGTTTTGTTTGTCTTACCTCTACAAGTCTTGTCATAACCGTATAATCACCCGTATAGCAGAACCTCCATAATAGACTGTTTGTCTTACCTCTACAAGTCTTTTCATAACCGTATAATCACCCGTATAGCAGAACCTGGATAATATACTGTTTGTCTTACCTCTACAAGTCTTGTCATAACCGTATTATCACCCGTATAGCAGAACCTCGATAATAGACTGTTTGTCTTACCTCTACAAGTCGTGTCATAACCATATAATCACCTGTATAGCAGAACCTTGATAATTCAATTTTTATATATGTTATCCTTCTGGACATCAATATGTCGTTTAGTAATAGCCCTAAATGCAATAATCTGAAATATTTTCTTATTCATGACGATATTCTGGAAAACGTAAATGCTATACATTGAAACTTATAAATTTTACTTTGATATAAAGTTTGACAGTATTGTATGACAGCAAAGATAAATATATGAAACATAAATGTAGTTTTTTTAAATGTCGCACTATTTACTGTTGATTTTAAATGAAAAAGTCACTATTCACAATATCAAAACTTAAATATTGTGTTATCTTTTAAATTTCCATAGCAATGTTTACAAAATTTACCATAAAACGTCAGACTTAA